CACCTCCCCCAAGCCCAGACCGGCCGGGGCAGTCCCACGTGAAAGGTTCCCAGGCGAGGGGAGAGGCGAGGGGGAGAAGAGCGAGCGAGCGGGGAGATGAAGGTGCAGGTGCTCACACTAAGCGGCACACGATGCAGGGGGAGGCGATCGCCCTCCCCACGCTGATGGCTGAAAATCCAAGCGTGCACCGGGCGGGGCAGGATGGGCCGGGACCCTCCCACCCTCCTCTCGCACGCCTTCCCCACCTGGCCCCGTGCACCGCCAAGGCCCGGGTTTCAGGGCAGAGAAGCTGGGGTTCGAGTGCAGCCTGCCCTCGCCAGCCATGTGACCTGCAGCCCCCGAGCCTCGGTCGCCTCGTCTGCCTCACAGGCCCGGCGAGAAACATCCAGAAGTCACATGCACCAGACGCCCGATTTTTTCACGGCCGGTGGCCAGGGACGGCGGCAGAGTCCCCGCCTGCCCGCCCCCCCCCCGCAAAATCCGGGAACCATGGACGCTCACCTTGATGACGGGAGGCGTGGGAGGGACCACAGGGATGATGGGTGTCGCCGGGGGCGGTGGGGCAGCAGTTGGGGGGACAGGGACCGACGTGATGTTTGCGGTGATAGTTGGCACAGGGGTGGCAGCAATGACGGGCGTCTGGGAGACAGTGGGGGGGACGCTCTGAAAGGGGGTCGCCGGGGAGACAGAGGACACGGCCGCCACTTGCTGCGAACCTGAGGACAGGACAGGAGGTTGAGCAGGCCAGGCTCCTGGGCAGGCGGGGCAAACGCCGTCCTTCCAGAAGCTTCCTGGACCATCCCTCTGCCGGCCCGATGTCGGAGGAGCCCTGCCTCCCCAGACACGGGCCCTGCATCTTGGCCGCCCCCGTGGGTGCTCACCCAACAAGTAAGGGCCTCCCCCTCTGGCCGGGACAAGCCACGCAGCCTGGCAGGTAAGACCAGGCCTGCGCCTGAGAAGTGGGGTGAACCCCGACTCCACCAGGAGCCATCGGAGTGACCCGCATGGAGCTACTAAACCACCCGCAGTCCCCACCTGCAACCCGGCATGGCCAGCAGTGCTGGCGACCCGCCCGGCCTCTCTCGAGGGCTCGGCCACCTCCGGCCGCCTCTCCATCGGGACGCACCTCCCTGCCGGGTTCCGGGACCAGATGAGACCGTAGGGCTCCCCAATAGGTGGCACAGCCCCTCCCGTCACAGAGAACACAAGGCTAAAGGGGCAACATCCTCGGAGGAGCAAGGGGACAGCAGGGACTCCAGAAGAGGAGGCCGCGGAGCCAGGACCAGGAGGAGCATGGGGACGTGGGACTCCACTCCTCCCAGAGTGCTCGAGGGCAGACGGACCCCACCAAGGCCCTTGTGTCCCGGACGGGCTGCGGCCACGGCTGAGACCGGGCCCTGGAGTGCACGTCACCACTGCCCAGACGTCGGACGGGGAGCGGAGCTGAGGGGCCGAGGGCCCGGCCCCGGGACGGAAGGACCACCCGCACCGTTACCTGCACTCTGGGCTCCCGCAGCCGGTTTCCGGCCTTTGCCCTTCGGAGCGGGGGGTAATAATTCAACTTCCTCCTGGGGCATCTGGGCCACTTTCTGCAGAAAAATTTTCTCTAAGGCTTGGGCCATTAGCACTATGTCATCTGTGGGCTGAAGACACGGGAGAGCCGAGGTTACATGCCGGGGAAGGAGCCGAGCGCCTGCAGGACACGCTGGCTGAGCTCAGAAACATCTACTTAGAAACGCAAGGCAGCGGTCGCCGACCCGGGGTCCGTGCAGTCTGGAAGGTTGGCGACCGCTGTGTTAAGAGGCCCTGGCCGGGCGGCTCAGCAGGTTAGAGCTTCGCTCCCAGGCACCACGGTGGCGAGTTCCACCCCAGGTCAAGGCACATACAAGAGTCAACCAACGAATGCCCAAATAAATGGAACAACAAATCCACGTCTCTCCCTTCCTCTCTGAGACCAGTAAGTAAAACTTTTAACGAAATTGTGGGGGGGCAGGAGGGAGGTAAAAAGAGTGAATTTTAATGTGGAAACTGTTCAAAAAAATTAAGAACCCCCAGCAGGTGTGGCTTAGTGACCGCACTGACCTATGAACCAGGAGGTCGCAGTGCAATCCCCAGTAAGGGGTGAGCAGGAGGCAGCCGACCAAGGAGTCTCTCTCATCGTTGATGTTTTTACCTCTCTCCCCCTCTCCCTTCCTCTCTGAAATCAGTAAAAACATATTTAAAAAAATAAAGCGCTTGGTCTGTGTCACCTCCTTCTGGAAGGCCTCACCCCCTCCCGCGGGGACGTGGCCCACAGTGTGTGGGGGTCACGTGTGGGGATCGGGGCCCGAGTGTGCAAAGCGCCCAGGTGTCCCCGGCTGGTGGGCGGCTCGCGGGGCATTCGGGGCCCACGCCACACGCGTTTTTCTCACCTTGTTATAAATATAACAATTTGTAAACATGGTGTTGAAGTCCTGCATACACTCGCTTGCACTCCAATAATAATTGTTTTCTAGTCTCTTCTTGATAGTCCCCATGTCCATCGGGTTTTTTATTATTTTATGATAATCCTAGGGGAGAGATTTCAGAGGGTTACCGACGGACTCAACATCGTCATCCCGCGATTCCAAGTCTTTGCCACAGGGACGGGGCTGGCCA